AGATTATGATGGCAGACAAAGGATTGCGATGTTTAGGTAGACTGACCACTCACATGCAGGGGGGCTACATACACTAGAGGTGGAAGATATTGATCTCATACCATGTAATCTTTTATATAGGTAAATATCATGTTCATCCAGAGGAGGTTGGAGAAATCTACAGGCAAAGCATCAAAGAGCAGTAATGCTAAGCAACCAATTTGATTCCGACTTTCTTAAAGTTTAACTGAAGGCAAAACCTTTTTTATATTTGGATGGAGTGGTGAGCAGTTATAACCACTATCACATTTTTATTGCTGTCTCCAAAATAGGGAGATTCATCCTCTCTAGATGTCCACAGCATAATTGTAGCCAGGAAATAGAATGAGGGTAAATCCACAATTTTCAGTTGCCATTTTAAAAGGAATAAAGGGAAAATCTTCCAATGGGGACATTTGTTCGTGTGACAATTGTGTAAGAGGAGATTTCACTCTTAGATATCCTCTCATGTCCTGTTAAGTCTACAAGACAGGAAGTGAATTGAAATCTCCTGATAGACACCTGACAGAAATAGCCAACAGCAGTTTAAACCCTCTGCTTCTCTAGTACAATTGTTTTGGCATTAGATATACTTTAAGGCCACATCAATCAGAACATATAAAGAAAATTGAAAGAAGTATTCCAGACAAATATAACAAGACAAAATGAATAGCCCATTAAAATACAAAATACCAAAAACAGCTTTTGCTGCAGTATTTACCTTCATCCAGTGATTCCATTATAGTATATTTTTACTGCATTAGATCTCAACCTAGATGGCATCATTCTACCACATCCTTTGAGCCCAGGTCACCCTGGAACCCACCTCAGGCTATGACTGGACCATGAAAGAACAAGTAACATAGTGATGAGGTCATCTCTCTGTCACTCTGCTTTATCTTCCTATTAGCATGCTTGCTCTCTGCACATGCACTAATTGGCTCCTTTTACTGATTTTTCATTTAATACACCAGCCCTGCTGGACAGGGACTTCAATAAGCTGATACCAGATCAAATTAAGGTACATACACTGTTGTATTTAAAAAAAATTAAATTCATGCTGATTACAGAATTGCCGTAAAGTTATTGAAAATGCTTTTTTTGTTTAAATTAAAATAACAAACATGTTATACTTACCTGATCTGTGCTATGGTTTTGCAGAAAGCAGCTATAATCCTCCTCTTCATGGGTCCTCCATCGGTGCTCCTGGCTCCTCCTTCTCTGCTGAGTGCCCCCAGAGCAGGCCCCTTACTATGGGTGCAGTCTTGCATGCTCCCTCCCTCCCTAGCCCCACTTCGTGTGTCCATTGACACACAGAGCAAGATTCAGCCCAGCCCTGCCTCCTGCTCCATCCTAACTGGCTGTGATTTGCAGCAGTGGGAGCCAATGGCTCCCAGTGCTGTCTCTGAGCCAATGAGGAGAGAGAGAGCTAAGAGGGTCTCTGCTCTTGTGCTCTTTTGGATCAAGATAGGGCTGAAGCAACTGGGAGGGAATATTGGCATCAATGAACACAACACAGAAGTGGGAGTTCTTTAAAATGACTGTACAGTATGTGAACACATTGCAAAATATATTCCCATGGGCAACAAGTTTAACAGGCTAAAAATCAAACCTATGTGGCTTATGGCCAAAGTTAAAAAAGCTATAGATAATAAGAAAAGAGCTTTTATTAAATATAAAAATGAAGGAACGCTATCATCATTTAAACATTACAAAGAATATAACAGAATATGCAAAAAGGAAATAAAGGCCACAAAAATTGAAAACGAACGACAGATTGCAAAAGATAGCAAGACCAACCACAAAAAATTCTTCAAATATATTAATAGTAAAAAGGTCCGGTCCGAGCGTGTAGGCCCTTTACAAAATAATCTAGAGTGGGTGAATGGGGACAAAGAGAAGGCAAATTTATTAAATACCTTCTTCAGCTCTGTGTATACAAAAGAGCATGGGAGAGCTGCTATCCATAATGGGCATGGTATTGACATAGCCCCAGATGATCCACATGGGCTCCCAATTGATATGATCCAAAAATATTTAGAAAGAATAAAGGTGAGTAAAGCACCTGGACCGGATGGCATATACCCACAGGTCCTTAAATATTGGACTTGAGGCTGGAAGGATAAATTGGAGTCCAGAATGACACCAAGTACTCTGGCCTGCAGGGCGGGTTTGATGGTGGCGTTGTTGGACGTGAAGGAGAAGTCAATGGAGGGTGGTGTCCGGGCTGGGGGGAAGACAAGAAACTCAGTTTTGGAGAGGTTCAGTTTAAGGAAGTGGAGAGACATCCAGTCTGATATGTCGCTCAGTAGGTGTGTGATTCGGGCGGAGACCGAGGGGGTGAGGTGGGGGGTTGAGAGATAGATTTGTGTATCGTCGGCATAGAGGTGGTAGTTGAAGCCGTGAGAGTGTATGAGTTGGCCAAGGGAGGAGGTGTAGATGGAGAAGAGAAGGGGCCAGAGGACAGAGCCTTGAGGGACCCCAACAGAGAGGGGGAGTAAGGGGGAGGTGGTGGCATTATAGGTAACGCTAAAAGAGCATTGTGACAGGTAGGATGAGAGCCAGGAGAGAGCAGAATCACTGAGGCTGAGGGAGTGTAGTTTTTTGAGGAGGAGGGGGTGGTCGACTGTGTCGAAGGCCGCAGAGAGGTCAAGGAGTAGGAGCACTGAATAGTGGCCATTAGCTTTGGTGGTTAGCAGGTCGTTGGAGAGTTTTAGTAAGGCAGTTTCGGTGGAGTGTAGGGGGACGGAAGCCGGACTGTAGGGGATCGAGGAGGTTGTTCTCGTTGAGGTGAGGCAAATGAGGTTTAATGTTGATGAATGTAAGGTTATGCACTTGAGGGCTAAGAATATGCATGCATCATACAGACTAGGGGGAATACAACTGGGGTAATCAATGGTGGAGAAGGATCTGGGAGTTCTGGTAGATCATAAGTTTATTAATGGCATGCAATGCCAAGCTGCGGTTTCTAAAGTGAGCAAAAACCTCTCTTGTATTAAAAGAGGTATAGACTCCAGAGAGAGATATCATATTACCCCTGTACAAATCATTAGTAATACCTCATCTGGAATATGCAGTTCAATTTTGGGCAACAATTCACAAAAAGAACATTGGGGAACTGGAGAAAGTACAGAGAAGGGCAACCAAACTGATAAGCGGCATGGAGGAGCTCAGCTGTGAGGAAAGATTAGAGGAACTGAATTTATTCTCTCTTGAGAAGAGGAGATTAAGGGGGGATATGATCAACATGTATAAATATATCAGTTCATATAGTGAACTCGGTGTAGAGTTATTCACCCTGAGGTCATCACAGAGGACAAGGGGGCACTCTTTACATCTGGAGGAAAAGAAATATAATCTCCAAGCACAGAAAGGTTTCTTCACAGTAAGAGCTGTAAAAATGTGGAATAGATTTCCTCAAGAGTTGGTTCTGGCCAGCTTAGTGGATTGCTTTAAACAAGGCCTGGATTCTTTCTTGGATACACGGAATATAACTCGTTACTATTTATAAGTAAAGTTGATCCAGGGAATATCCGACTGCCTCACAGGGGATCAGGAAGGGTTTTTTTTCCCCTGCAAGGACAAATTGTATCATGCTTTGCTGGGTTTTTTGCCTTCCTCTGGATCAACTGTGGGTGCAGGATTATAACTTTTTTTTTTTTATGAACTGGATGGACTTTTGTCTTTTTTTCAGCCAGTAACTATGTAACTATATGTCTTGTTCAATTTTATGTATACCAAATCAATAACTCTCATATTATCTTTAATATGTTAATATCATTTTAAAAAGTTGTGATAAATATGTTTAATTTTCCTGCATTTCACTAGAGTTCTGGACTGGTCCAGTTTACAGATCTTCTATTTACAGTACATCATGACATACTTTTATTATTCTGCTGATTCTAATATTAGTATGCCTTTATCTAATAAATGCATAAGTCAACAATCTTCTAGCTTTTTGTTTGGAAAATGTATTTTTGATGAATACCGAGTAAGCGTTTAGCTACATTAAGTTCTCCAGGGTAGAATCTGAATTTTGAATGTACCTCAACAAACTTTAATACTGTAAGTATAATGATACCTGAGTGGTAGGTTATGTATGGGAACTGACAACAATGGGCCTACTGGGAAAGATAATGGGCCTATCTTTCAAGGTGAGAAGAGATTATCAGAAAAAAAGTAGAGAACTCAGCGAGTGACCGGAAATTAAGCTGTTTGTTTACGCCAATTTGCTGATAATATCTTGTGTGCATGAATACTTGTATGCCATATAACCAGTCAAGGTCAGTGGAATGGATTAATAATCATTCAAACTTATTTACAGACTGCAGTTGTCTAGAAACCAAACAAAAGAGAAATGCATTAAATTCTAGGTGCCTTTCTCTGAATATAGAAAAAAAATGTAGCTTACTTTTTCAGTTATCCATTCATATTTCTTCAATCTCCCCGAAGCCACAGATTGATCACTCCCAAATCTCCCATCTTCTCAAGGCTGATAACTGCAGATGCACACCTCATCCTTAAAAGACTGATTACAATAATTTACGCAACCCTCTTTTTGACAAAATGTGCCATCATCATAAACTTAAAACTTCTGCCCCTTAAATGTTTGGCAACCGCATAGATTTACCTCTATATTTACAACACTCTCCTAACTAGTGCCACCATACTCTCTAACATAGTTCCAAAAGACCCACTTCATTGACAATGATAGGGCTTAAACATTACATAAACCATACTACTACTCCAGATCTGATTCTGCTGACCCCCTTCACTTTAAATACAATATGCTTTATAGTGACCATGTCACATGAAAATTAAAACTGGCAAAAAAACATGATGTAATGGAGGGGAAGGAATACTTACGTCTCCAATCTTCACTCTGTTGCAGAGCTACAGCTGATCTGTTTATCCAACACTTCCAAAAGTGTTGAATTCCTTGTCCCTCACTGTATGCTTTGGCTCCATCCAGGGGCGGACTGACAACTCATGGGGCCCCCGGGCAATAGGGGATCATGGGGGCCCTGTGTCCTTGCCCAAACTGAAAAAAGCCTATGAAAAAGGTACCAGGGGCATCTCATGGGGCCCCCTACTGACTCCGGGCCCTCGGGCAGTGCCCAAGTTTCCAAATGGTCAGTCTGCCCCTGGCTCCGTCCTTCATCCTCTGCATCTTTACGGGACACAGTGATTGGATGATTGCAAACGAAACATTCTCTATTACTTTAGTAAGCTCAGTAGGCAAAGATTCTGACTTGACTTATTAAATCTCTCAACACTGAGGTTGTAAACTTATGAACTGAAATGTAAACAGGTATAAATAACAAATCTATTGGTAATGAAATGCAGACAATCCCCCAAAGTGTCTCCTCTTTAACTAATTTATTGCCTAAAAATGTTGTCATGAAATAAAATTCAAAGTTCCAGGCTCTTATAGGGTCCCTTCTTCATAAAGAACATTACGTTGCATGGAAGAAGGAACCCTGAAGAACCCCAAAACATAGGCCTTTTTATGTTACAACATTTTTCACAATAAATTAGTAAAAAGAAAATGCTTTTGGAGTGCTGATGACTTTCTATATTTCATTGAATTACACAATGTAACCATCCGCCACATACAGTTGTGTTCAAAATAATAGCAGTCAGACATCACTAACCTGATCAATCACTGTTTTTGGTAGAAATGCTATTTCTACATGGCAAATAATTTACTAGCAGGTGTAGTAGAGTAATAGAAATCCAACAGACCCAACAGTCATGACATGCATGCTGCTGATTCTGTGTAATTTGAATCACTAATTGAAAGAGGCATGTTCAAAATAATAGCAGTGTGGAGTTCTATTAGTGAAGTAATTCATTCTTTGAAAAACAGGTGGCAATTATTGCCCTTATTTAAGGAAGGAAGGCAGCAAATGTTGCACATGCTGGTTACAGTGCATTTCTCTCTGAAATTCTGAGGAAAATTGTTCAGAAGAACAGCGTACCTTGATTAAAAAGTTGATTTGAGAGGGGAAAACATATAAAGAATTGCAGAAAATGATAGGCTGCGCAGCTAAAATGATCGCAAATGCTTTAAAATGGCAACCAAAACCTGAAAGACGTGGAAGAAAGCGAAAAACTACCATTCGAATGGATAGAAGAATAGTCAAAATGGCAAGGACTCAGCCAACAATCAGCTCCAGGAAGATCAAAGAAGATCTAAAGTTACCTGTGAGAACTGTTACAATTAGAAGACGCCTATGTGAAGCCAAGCTATCTGCAAGAAGCCCCCTGCAAAGAACCACTGTTGAAAAAAAGACGTGCTGAAGAGGTTACAATTTGCCAAAGAGCGCATTGACGGGCCTAAAGAGAAATGGTGCAACCTTTTGTGGACTGATGAAAGTAAGATTGTTCTTTTTGGGTCTAGTGGCTGGAGACAGTTTGTTAGACGACCCCCAAACACTGAATTTAAGTTACAGTACACTGTGAAGACAGTGAAGCATGGTTGCACAAGCATCATGATATGGGGATGTTTCTCATACTACGGTGTTGGGCCTATTTATCGCATACCAGGGATCATAGATCAGTTTGAATACATCAGAATACTTGAAGAGGTCATGCTGCCTTATGCTGAAGAGGACATGCCCTTGAAATGGGTGTTCCAACAAGACAACGACCCAAAACACACCAGTAAAGTGCAATATCTTGGTTCCAGGCCAACAAGATTGATGTTATGGAGTGGCCAGCCCAATCCCCGAAACTTAATCCAATAGAAAACTTGTGGGGTGACATCAAAAATTCAGTTTCTGAGGCAAAACCAAGAAATAGAGAAGAACTGTGGAATGTAGTCCAATCATTCTGGGCTGGAATACCTGTTCACAGGTGCCAGAAGTTGGTTGACTCCATGCAACACAGATGTACAGCAGTTCTCAGAAACAGTGCTTATACAACTAAATATTAATTAAGTGATTCAAAGGAAAGCAAAATCTTCAAACATTTTTCAGTTTATATAGTGAATGTTTGAGTTTGTAAAGAAGAATACAAACACTGCTATTTTTTTGAACAGTCTAATTTTCACTTTTCTTCAATTGTTTTAGAGGAACAACACAAATTTGATATATTTTTATTCATGTTTTGATTTGGAATAGAATGTGTAGTGTTCCAATGCATTTGTGTGTATGGAAATAAAGCTATTAGAAGGATTTTGAGCTTTATTCACTTTTTTAAACACCCTGCTATTATTTTGAACACAACTGTATATAATCCATAGATAATAATACCAATAAATAAAAGGAAAAAATATTTTTAAATTAAAGTGTAACTGAAACCAAAAATATTCTTTTCATTTTGGATAGAGTAAGGGAGGGTTATAACTCTTGTCAGGTTGAAACACGTTGGAGGTAGGAGAGCACAAGCATAATAAAACTGTGAGATATGCTACTTGTCACAATCTCTAAGGCTCCTTTTCACACTGACATGGTGCAGTTTGACTGCACCACCGTTATAGCGCAGTGTACCCACTGTTTGGTTTGGAAAAGCTGCGCTTTCCTATAGCATTCCATTATCTCCCGATTTTGTTGCGCTTTCTGAAAGCTCTGTCACACTTTAAATGACAATAAATCAGTCATGCAATTCTGTAACCAAACTAATTTTTAATAATTTTAAGACAGATAGAGCTTTCTTTTGGTGGTATTTAGTCACCACTGGGTTTTTATTTTTATGCTATATAAGCAAATAAATATCAACAATTGTGAAAACAAAACCCATGTTTTTCTTAGTTTCTGTTATGTAATTTTGCAAACAAATAATCTTTCTTCATAAATGTAGACCAAAATTTGTTCTGCTACATTTCCATGGTAAAAATAAGCCAAACCACTGTATATTATTTACTCTGTGAAAATTAAAGTCTATAATCTATGGTATCCATATCTGAAAATTGATCAGTCCTGATGTATTGACTGCCTATTTCTTTCTTGAGGCCCTAAAATGCCAGGACAGTACAAATACCTCCAAATTATCCCTTTTTGGATAGTAGACACCTCAAGGTACTTAGTAAGAAGCATGGTGAGTTTTTTGAAGATGTAACTTTTGTCACATTTTATTTGGAAAATGAAGAATTAAAATAAAATGTGTTTCTTATTTATATATATTTTTTTAAAAAATACTATCACCAGAGCAGTGCAACGTCACATATAACTGGTGTGGTGGTGATCAGTATGTAAAAAAATAAACAGTAATAATAATTTTACTGTGACCAGAGCAGTACAGTGTCACTGTACTACTGTGGGGAGGTCAGGAGGATTTATTTTACAGCAGAGGTACTCAGAGACCTGGCATTCCTGCCAGTACCTTGCAAGGCTGCAGAAATGCACTCTGGTGAAAATCTATGCGCATTGGCTCATGGACCTGAGCCGGAACACGCATGCGCACTGGCGCATAGTTATGCACGCATTAGCTCAGTTTGGTTCCAGATGGCCTTTATAAGGAAGCCCATCACCCCCTCAAATTGCTGGTTGATCTCTGGCTCACCAATAACTTTGTCCGTGTTCCCTTGTTACTGTGATCTCCTGTTACTGATTTAGCTTGTTCTTGGACCTGTCTTCTCTGCCTGACTGCTGATCTGACCCTGACTTGGATAAGGGATATTCTCATCTGCTCTTCTGATCTGACCTCGGCTTGGCTAATAGATATTCTCACTTGCTCTCTTGTGTATGACCCTGGCTATCCTATTGACTACGTCTGATCCAATCTCTACCTGCCATCAAATCTTGGCTTTGAACTGACTACTCTGTGGTCCTCTGCTACCCTGAAGGCCTGCATACCTCTCACGGGTGCCACCTGTCTGCAGACATCAGCTGTGCTCTTGAGTGTACCTCTGACCAGCACTCCTACAGGCGACCCGTGCTACTTTGGGCCTGACTCCTGTCCCATATCCAGGGGAGGCTGGAACTTAGCCGCAAGGGAAGCCCTCTCTCCAATGGCCTCTAACACCAGGTACATGATACTCAGTGTGTGCTGCAATCCGCTGAATCCATTGTATTGGATAGTTCCTTTACATATATTTGGTTATGGGTATGCATACATATGTAGATGTGTAAATATATACCTATATATATGTACAGGGATGTGTATGTATGTGTACTTTTAGCTGAACAGTTGCATTGTTGAAAAAGCAGTTTGATAATATGTCTGCAGTCTGTTTGTTAAGGCTGGTACACACGGGCCAAATTTTAGCCCATGTGTACAGCAGCCTGTCCAACAGAAGCCAGTTTAACAATGAGCCTACATCAAATGGGCATGCTGAAAAACCAGCATCTGACCAATACTTGCAGACAATGACTGTGAGCACTGATCAATGTGTTCTGGAAAGGGAAATCACTGCACTAACATTGCTTAGTTGGCACGGCCATCACTCAGTTTTTTTTTTTGTTCAGTCCACCAGGCTGAATGAAAAATATACAGTACATCCCTGTGTGTTCCCCGAATTACTGTAGTGAAGAGAGGGAGAGTGCTGCAATCATGAGAAAATCTTCCTTTGAGAAGTAAAGATACTACAAAGGCTAGATTGGATTGTTAAAAATGACTTAATAGTTACTGCTCTGGCAGTTTGGGAAGTGCTGGTTTTTCTTTTGATTTTTTTCATTGTAAGTAACACTTGGTATTTGCTGGCTGCATCCCAGATGGAGAGCACAAATTACCATTGTTTTATTATCTCAGAGTTCCATAAGAATTTGTTTATATGTCAGTTTTTGGTGAGCTTTGTCTGGGTACCTGCGTACTAGCAGAATACATACATAAGAAAGGTTACAGCAACAAAACCATATGTACAAACATAAACATTGCCTTGAAAAAATAAAAATAAAATCTCCAACAATGCAAAGAGAACAAAACAGCTTCTAGTAACCACATACAATCCAACACTTGAAGGAAAATGAAAGATAATAAAAAAAAACTGCTACTCATCATAACAGGGAATGAAACTCTGAAAGAAATATTCGACAAAATCCAATGCTGCCCTTCAGGCAGCCACCTAACCTCCAACATAAATTAATCAG